CCTTCCTTCCTTCCTTCCTTCCTTCCTTCCTTCCGTGTTCCTCCCTCCGTCCTTCTGTCCCTCCCTCCCTCCTTTCCTTCCCCTCTTCTCTCCCCACCCTCCTTCCTTTCCTTTCCCCCTCTCTCTTGCCTTTCTTCCTTCCCTTCTTTTTTCAATTTCCTTTCCTCTTTTCTATATCCTTCCTTCTTTCTCTTCTATTTTTGTTTTCCAGAGCAGAAAAAACTTTGGGGAATATCTTGAAGAGCAAAGGATGGAGGTAAGGCGCCCTCCACCCCCCCCCCCCTCGGTCCCTGCTGGCAGATGGCACCGGAGATGCCCCAAGCCCAGATTGGCAGCTGGGTCCTTTCCTGGGAGGGCAGAGGGTGAGAGTGGGTGGGGCTGTGAGGTCACCGAAGGGGGCGGAGTCGCAGCCTCTGGATCGGGGAGGGCTAATTGAGAAGGTTTCTCCTATATTTCGGTGAAAGTTTGCGCCTTTTGCCAAATTGCATACAGGTAGCCCTTGAGTTATGACAACAACTGAGCCCAACTGGGTCAAGTCGTAAAACATTTCTATGGTCTTTTTAGAGTTGCCAACAGAAAGGGAGGAGGGGGGAGCAGTGTGGCAGCTGGGAAACCGAAAGCGCATTCCATAAATAGCTTTTCAAAGATAGTAACCAGGTGACTGAAGTTTCTGCCACGCACAATTCTAACTGGAGAGCATGATTGATGACTCTGGGCTATGGATGTGTCCCATTGGAGAATATGGATTACGATATACCCAGGGGTTGGGGTGGGGGGAAAACCAGGGTCAAGGGTGACAATGAATGATGGGTCTCAGAGTCGGCTGCACCCGGGCAGTGCCGGACCTGTTCACTCCCCATAAACCCTTTTTGGAAGTTTGGCTCGAGACTCACTCTCGGATTAAGTGCCAGAATCCTGACACCAACATTTATCTGACAAGCGAGATCTATGTTAAGTGAGTTCGGCTCCCATTTCTGGCCACCGTTGTTAAGTGAATCACTGCAGTGGTTAAGTGAGTCACACACAGTTAAGTGAGTAGGGCTTCCCCGTGGGCTTCGCCGATCAGAAAGTCACAAAAAGCGGATCGCGGGACCTCGGGACGCCGGGCGGGACGTCATAAGTACGAGTCGGTTGCCAAGCGTCTTGAGTTTTGACCCAGTGGATGCGGCAAGTGTGAAAAAAGGGCGGTCACTTCGAACGGTCGCTAAATGAACCGTTGTGAGCCGAGGACGGCCTGTATTCCTGGCTGCAGGATCTCGGGGAGCCACTGTTAGCTTACTCCCCCCACCCCTTTGTTTTTTTTTTTGCAGGCGTTCCAGCTACGTGGTCACCACCAAAATTTACTGGGGAGGCCAGTAAGTGCTCCGAGACCTGTCCGTCTGCAGAAAAAAAAATCCACGGAGGAGGGGGTTGGACTAAATGACCTCTGAGGTCCCTTCCAACTCTGTTAATCCCTTAAAAAAGGTTTTGTTTTTTTTTTGTCCCTTCCGTGCAGGCTTCCGATGGCAGTGGACTACAAGGGCCATCCTCCCCGGCAGTCTGACGCAGGCAGCCGGGCGAGGCGGAGGCCCTGCCTGTGAATAGGGCTGTGTTCCCCACCCTCCCCCAAACCGCCCCCCCCCGGCAGTATTTTTCTAGGGGGCTCTCCAAAAAGAGTCTTAACTCCCCCTTGAGGATTTTGGGGTGCAGGGATGGCGGCTGGGCCTGGATGTGATCTTTCACTCTCCTTCCCCCCTCCCCCTTCTTCTTCTTCTTCTTCTCTTCAAGGGCCGAGACCGAAAGGGGCTTATCCCGGAAACACATCATTGAGGGTGAGGAGGGGGGGGCAGGGGAGGGGGCTGGGGAGGAGGGAGGGGCTGAGCCTGGATGGGAGCTGAATCTCCAGGGGGGAAGGGGGAGGAGGGCAATTCGTGGAAAGGGGGGAATCAGCTTTTAAGTAGGAGAAGGGAGGGAGGGAGGGAGGGAAATAGATGAGAGGGAGGGAGAAGTGAAGTAGAAGAGAGAGGAAGGAAGGAAGGAAGGAAGGAAGGAAGGAAGGAAGGAAGGAAGGAAGGAAAATAGATAAGAGGGCGGGAGGGAAGGAAGGAAAAGAGCAATACAAGAGGAAGGAAGGAAGGAAGGAAGGAAGGAAGGAAGGAAGGAAAATAGATAAGAGGGAGGGAGGGAAGGAAAGAAAAGAGCAATACAAGAGAGAGGAAGGAAGGAAGGAAGGAAGGAAGGAAGGGTGAGTGGATGGATGGAAGGATAGATTTAAGTACAGAACAATGGGTGGGTGGAAGGGATGGATGAACAAGAGGAAAGGATGGAGGGATTGAAGGAAGGATGAATAGGATGGATTAAAGGACAGAAGAATGGGTGAGTGGATGGGTGGAAGAGTGAATGGAATGGGTAGATGGAAGGATGGGAAGGATGGATTACAAGCTCCCCGATGGGGACCCTCAGCCTCCCATCATCCCCAGCCCTCCCACTCTGGGGCTTCTAATTCCAACGTTTCTCCTCCCTCCCCTTCTTCTCATCCCCCAGGGCTGAAAGGGTCCCTGCAGAGACTCCAGCTGGGATACGTGGACATCGTCTTCGCTAACCGGATGGACGCTAACAGCCCCATGGAAGGTGGGTGGCTTCCTCTCTTCTGGCCTTCTTCCCCCCCACACACACACCCCAACCTTTTAGGATCGGGATTAACCGCCCCCCCCCCCCAAATTCCCAGCCTCGTTTTGAGTAAGGACCTGCCTCCTGTGTGTCTACCCTGAATAAATGCCTTTTTTACCACTTGCCAGGATAATTCCACCACAATTTAAAAAACAGCAACACACATTTAATACACAGAGGCACACACACACACACACACACACACACACACACACACACACACACACTCTTCTCCGGCAGCTAAAAGAAATACCCCAGATACACATTTTGCAGGCGGGGTAGTCAAAAAGCAGCCAAGATGGCAGCCATAGTGCCCGGGCCATCTTGATATTTTTTGGCCGGATCTTGTAGATCTGTCTTCACAATGCTGTTTTCTTTCAAGAGAAAGAAATAAGAAATAGGAAGGCCAAGAACTTAATTGCAAAGGAAGAAGAAGAAGAAGAAGAAGAAGAAGAAGAAGAAGAAGAAGAAGAAGAAGAAGAAGAAGAAGAAGAAGAAGAAGAAGAAGAAGAAGAAGAAGGAGAAGAAGAAGAAGAAGAAGAAGAAGAAGAAGAAGAAGAAGAAGAAGAAGAAGAAGAAGAATGAGGAGAAGAAGAAAGAAGAAGAAGAAGAAGAATGAGGAGAAGAATGAGGAGAAGAAGAAGAAGAAGAAGAAGAAGAAGAAGAAGAAGAAGAAGAAGAAGAAGAAGAAGAATGAGGAGAAGAAGAAAGAAGAAGAAGAAGAAGAATGAGGAGAAGAATGAGGAGAAGAAGAAGAAGAAGAAGAAGAAGAAGAAGAAGAAGAAGAAGAAGAAGAAGAAGAAGAATGAGGAGAAGAAGAAAGAAGAAGAAGAAGAAGAATGAGGAGAAGAATGAGGAGAAGAAGAAGAAGAAGAAGAAGAAGAAGAAGAAGAAGAAGAAGAAGAAGAAGAAGAAGAAGAAGAAGATAGGGAAAAGCAGGGGGCTAGATCTGTGACTTATGACCATCGGTCCTCGCACTTATGACCATCCCCATCGCCATGTCATCAAAATCGGGGCTGGTAATCTATGACAGGTCACGTAATCATCATTTAGCACCTTTCCAGCCGGCTTCTGGCCGGAAGCCAGATTTACAGTAATGATTCACTCAACAAGTGCCTTGACTCGCTTAACAACCATTGCAAAAATGGTTGTAAAATCAGACGTGACTCCCTTAACAACCGCAGTTTTGCTCTGCTCTTGCGGAGACGTCCCTTTTTAGGGAAGCCAATGGCCTCTGTTCCCCCCCCACACACACTTTTTTTCCTAGGTAGGGGATGCAGGGGAGGGGGTGAACTGCCCCAGCCCCCCGATTTCAGCGCCCAGTCAACCAGGCTTGGCTTTGCAAACTCCAGCATGTCTCCTTGGTTCTTCCTTCCTGCAGAGGGTGACCTGAACTTCCGAGTGTTCTTGCTGGAAGGTACTATAGATCCCCTCCTTGTGAGCCCCCCTCACCCATTTCCTGCCCCCCCTCTTGTCTCTTGCACCCCGAACTTCTCAAGCCGTTAGAAAAGGGGTGGGGGGTGAAGAAAAAAAAAAACAACTACAACAGTTACGTGTATAAGATGAGTCTTTCTCAGCCCCTGGCCCTTTAAGGTTGGGCGGACTTCGGCTCCCGGCAGGGGGAATTCTGGGAGTTGAGGTCCACCCTGTCTTAAAGGGGCCGAGGCCGAGGAACACAAATTTGTAGGGGCTGTTAAATCGGCATTTTTTTTTCCCCTCCAAGAGCGAATGGCATTTTGGGGGCGAAACATGGTGTGTCCCCCCGTTGTCCTCGTCACACCTTCAGTGAGGAGACCCCAAATTCTAGGAAGGGCTTTTCGGGTGGGGATGTGTTTTGGGTTGCCTCTCAATGGGGATTTCCCGCCCCCCCACAACTTTTAGCAGAAAGGGGTTAAATTCAAAGGGTCGGATTTAAATGTATTAGTTTTACATTCCAGCCAGGAATTTTTTTTAAAAAAGTTCCCTATTCCTATTTCTTTTTTATTATTATTATTATTTTTATTTATTGGACTGCTGTCTGAAATCATGCTGACTCTAAGTAGCTGGAAGAAATAGAAGAAGAGAAGAGAATTTAGAATAGAATTTAGTATAGAATACAATTTAGAAGATAATAAAATAGAGTAGAATAGAATAGAATTTAGAAATTAGAATAGAATAGAATAGAATAGAATAGAATAGAATAGAGTTAGAACAGAATAGAACAGAATAGAATAGAATTAGAATAGAATAGAATTAGAATAGAATAGAATAGAATAGAAGATGGAATAGAATAGAATATAGAATAGAATAGAATAGAATAGAATAGAATAGAATATAGAATAGAATAGAATAGAATAGAATAGAATAGAATAGAATATAGAATAGAACAGAACAGAACAGAATAGAATAGAATAGAAGATGGAATAGAATAGAATAGAATAGAATAGAATAGAATAGAATAGAATAGAATAGAATAGAATATAGAATAGAAAATGAATAGAATAGAATAGAATATAGAATAGAAAATGAATAGAATTAGAATATAATAGAATAGAATATAATAGAATAGAATAGAATAGAATAGAATTAGAACAGAATAGAACAGAATAGAATAGAATTAGAATAGAATAGAATAGAATAGAATAGAATAGAAGATGGAATAGAATAGAATATAGAATAGAATAGAATAGAATATAGAATAGAATAGAATAGAATAGAATAGAATATAGAATAGAATATAGAATAGAATATAGAATAGAATATAGAATAGAATAGAATAGAAGATGGAATAGAATAGAATAGAATAGAATAGAATAGAATAGAATAGAATAGAATATAGAATAGAAAATGAATAGAATAGAATAGAATATAGAATAGAAAATGAATAGAATTGGGGGAGACCCTTGTACTATAATTAGGGCTTTAAGGTGCATGCAAAAAAGTCAAGGAGGCAGATGTGGGTACGACCAAACCTATTCCCGTTTCCTGGGCTTCGCTGTTATGGCCGTCCCTTCGCAGGCAAAGGCCGCGGGGTGGAGGTCTCTTTTGGAACGTGGAAATGTGGGGACTTTTCCCCCCCTAGGCCAAGAGGGCAGGAATCTGGCTCGTCAATAGGAAAAAAACCAAGTAGTCCTTGACTTACAACCGTTCATTAGTGACCGTTGGAAGTTTACAACGGCACTGAAAAAAAAGTAACTTAGGACCGTTTTTCACACTTACGACTTGCAAAACTCTCCACGGCCACGCAATCACAATTCAGGCTTTTGACCACTGACTCACATTTATGACGGTTGCAGCGTTCCGGGGGTGGGGGTCACATGATCCCCTTTTGCGACCTTCCGATGAGCAAAGTCGGGGAGGGGGAGCCAGATTCGCTTAACGACCGTGTGACTTGCTTAACAATCGCAGCAATTCATCGAACAACGGTGGCAAGAAAGGTCATAAAACGGGGCAAAGTTCACCTAGCAATCGTGTGTCTTAAGGACTGCACCGACTCGCTTAACAGTGGTGAGAAAAGTCATAAAACAGGGCAGAGTTCACTTAACAACTGTGTTACTCATTTAAGGACTGCACTGATTAACTTAACTGTGGCAAAAAAAAAGGTTTGTAAAACAGGGCCAAACTCTGAATACCCAGCAGTGAAACTTTCCCAGAGCTACCTGAAATAATTTGCTTTTAAAACAATCACAGAAAAAGAAAAAAGAATGCTAATTATCATGAAAAATAATAAATCAGAAGGACTTAATAACAAAGGGGCAAAAAAGTACACGCAGTCCTCAATGTACGACCACCAGTGAGCCCAAAATTCAGGTTGCCAAGGGAGAAATTCATTAAGTGAGTTTTCCTCCACGTTACAACCTTCCTCGCCACGTTTGTTAAGTGAACTGCTTCAGTTGTTAAGGAAGTCACACAGTTGTTAAGTGAATCCGCCTGCCCCAATGTAAATCACATGTTCATGGGGATGCTGCAGTGGTCATAAGTGTGAAAAATAATAGTCCTAAGTCACGTTTTCCAGTCCCGTTCTAACTTCGGTCACTAAATGAGCTGTTGTAAGTCAAGGACTACCTGTAGTAGAATCTGGGATCCGGCCTGAGAGGTCTGTCCTGCCATTTCCTCTTGTCTTGAACCCAGGACTTCTCTTTGCTGCCCATAATAGCCTCCTAACTCTAACCAGCCCTAATCTACTGTCCCCTGTCCTAATGTTCCCTTTATTTGTACCCAATTTATTTATTAATAATCATGGTTATACTTATATAAGTAATTCTGGGAGTTGAAGTCCACAAGTCTTAAATCAGGGGTCTCCAACCTTGGGCACTAAGACTCATGGACTTCAGCTCCCAGAATTCCCCAGCTGGCTTTTCCCCCTCACTTTGCTGTAAGTCAAGATCTATTACGCTCACTACATACCCACCGTTACCCTCCATGGCTGGCTGGCTGGGGAATTCTGGGAGTTGAAGTCCACGAGTTTTAAAGGGACGAAGGTTAACAAACCCTTCCTTACCCCATCTGTATGTTTTCCCAAAGAGGAAACCCTACTGACTTCAGTGGGGCTTACTTCCACCTTACTCATCTAGGTTAGTCCCGCTGTACTTCCGTGTAGGCAGTAGACACGCATAGTGTGTAGTTTGCAAGCTTTGTGGGCCCCCCTGTCTGGAGTCGTGTGTGGCTTGTGCTGCCAACAACCAGAGGCACCTCCGGTTTAGCTGCTATTTAGCATTTCCACCACTATTTAAATAATCCAGAAATCCTGATAGCAGAAACATCGTTCTACCTGGAAAGTACCTGGTTGTGAAATAAGCACAGGTGTTCCTCGACTTATGATGGTTCATTGAGTGACCACTCAAAGTTACGTGCGACAAACTTACCAGCTGCAGTGATTCACTTAACAACTGTGGAAAGAACTTCATTCAGCAAAATTCACTTGAGAAATGTTTCAGTTAGCGACCAAACATTTGGGTTCCGTTGTGGTCGTAAGTCGAGGACTACCTGTAATAAGTCAAAAATAAATAACACATTTTAGGGTTAAAAACAAGCTGTGATGAAGGACGAGGAGTTGAAAGAGTTGGCAGCCTTATATGGTGTTTTTCTGACTGTCCTTAAATGCAAACCTTTTATTGCCTGGGTTTTTTTTTTTAATAGTGGACTCACTCACATTTTGCAAAGTTCTTTGAAATGTATTTCACACTTCCTCTTCCATTTTTTTGATTTTCCTTAAGGAAAAATGATTAAAAAGAGGTGGTGATTATTTTCTTTATGGAAAATGATAAAAAAAAATCTAATCTGTTTTCCATAAGGTGATGCTAAATTGAAAATATAAGGTGATAATGGACTCGTGCATTCATGCATTAAACTCAGGGTGTATGTGTGTGTGTTGTCCAAACTGTGGTTTGTTGAATCAACCACAATGTTTGGGTTCATTCACTAAAACAAGCACTGTTGATGCATAAATACGTTGTTTGCTGGGACTTTGTAACACTGGTCTACAGAGAACTTGGGACAAAGTTTTTTTTCCAATTTCCTAGACTTTGTTCAAAATAGAAATGTCCACAAAGTTGATCAGAAACATAAAGATGGATTTGTGGTTGTGATTGCTGTCTTAACTTAGATACCCTCCATGAATATAACATTCAGGCTGTAGATTTTGAAGCAGCCACTGAAATCGTTGTCTTTTAATCTCGGCAACTATTCCTGGGGATTGAAGTCCACCAATCTTCAAGTGACCAAGTTTGAAAAACGCTTGATTTTTTCCAACTTCTGGATGGGGGAAACTACAACTCCCCGGAGGCTCAGCATCCAGGGGGGACTCATGGGAATTGAAGTCCACTCGTATCAACGTGGCTCTGTTGGGGAAAGCTCTTCAACTCCTGTCTGCGGGTCAGGATGTCATTCCCACCAGTTTCTGGAGTTGAAGCAGAGCGAGATGGAAAACTTCTCAAGATATTCAACCTATTTTTCCAAAGCACCAGAAAGCAGGACGAGAAGCGACCGATGCTAACTAACCAAGGAGAGAAGCAACCTAGAACTAAGGAAACATCTCCTGACAGTGAGAACGGTTAGCCAGTGGAACTGCCTGCCTCCGGAAGTTGTGGGTGCTCCAACATTGGAGGCTTTCAAGGAGATACTGGACAATCCCTTGTCTGACATTGTCTAGGGTCTCTCTAGATCTAGACCCTAGACAATGTCAGACAAGAGATTGTCCAGTCTCTCCTGGACAGTCCCTTGTCTGACATTGTCTAGGGTCTCCTCCTTGAGCAGGGGGCTGGACTAGAAGACCTCCAAGGTCCCTCTCAACCGGTGGTGGGAATCAAATAATTTAACAACCGGCTCTCTATCCTAATCATTTGTTCCAACAACCAGTTCACCAAACTGCTCAGAAAGTTAACAACCGGTTCTCGCGAACCGGTGTGAACCGGCTGAATCCCACCACTGCTTCCAACTCTTGTCATTCTGTTCAGACGATGTTCTGCATCAAGCTACTTGCCTTCGTTCACTTTTTCCTCCCTGACCTGTTTTATTGAATATGAAAGGCTTCCCATCTTTGAAATGTGAGGGTGGGGGGGAAAAACACACACAAAAAAAGAGGGGAAATATACTTTAGTGCTGATCTCTCTTTATGTTTTCGTTTTTCCTGCCAGAGATCGTCCGAGCCATGACTTACGTCATCAACCAAGGCATGGCCATGTACTGGGGGACTTCGCGCTGGAGTGCGATGGAGATTATGGTAAATTCTGAACTTTGGGGGGAGCGGGGAGTGAAACGGGCACGGTAAGTCGGTCCCTCTCTTTTTCCCCCCAATCTCTTCTTCCTTTCCCCTCCTTCTTCTCTGCTACGTAGGAAGCTTACTCGGTAGCCCGGCAGTTCAACCTCATCCCACCCGTGTGCGAACAGGCTGAATATCATATGTTCCAGAGGGAAAAAGTGGAGTCGCAGTTGCCAGAGTTGTATCACAAGATAGGTATGAAGGAAGGAGGAAGAGGGGCTTGGGGAGGAGGGGTAAGGGAGGAGGGGGTCTCAGGAAGGGAACCCTTTTCCCTTCCTGCATGATAGTTCTTCCTTGTCCTCCCCTCTGTCTATTAATTGCAACCCTGGTTTGACCCAGATCAATATTTCCTTGGCAACTTTAAGACTTACGGACTTCAACTCCCAGAATTCTCCAGGAAGCCACGTAGGGTAACTTTCTTAATAGACAGTGGGTATGCAATAAGTGTAATAGATCTTGATTTCAACAAAGTAAAAAAAAGAAGAAGAAGAACTGGCTGGGGAATTCTGGGAGCTGAAGTCCACACGACTTAAATCAGGGGTCTCCAACCTTGGGCACTTTAAGACTTGTGGACTTTCAACTCCCAGAATTCCCCAGACAGCCACGTAGGGTAACTTTCTTAATAGATAGAGGGTATGCAAGTAAGCGTAATAGATCTTGACTTCATTCAGCAAAGTGGAAAAAAAGAGCTGGCGGGGGATTTCTGAGAATTGAAGCCCACCCATCTAAAAAGTTGCTGAGGCTATTGACCTCCATGTTGATTGGGGAAATTCTGGGAGTTGAAGTCCAACCATCTTAAAGTTCTTAGAGTTGGGAAATGTTGACCTAGATCGAGGGTCTTCAAACTTCTGGAGTTCAATTCCCAGAATTCTTGAGCTAACATGACTTGGAGGAGGAATTCTGGGAATTGAAGTCCACCAGTCTTAAAGTTGCCAAGTTTGGAGACCTCTGACCTAGATGAACACAAAAGGAATTTAGTTGTGTTTTTACGGGGTTTCACAATTGGTTTGCCTCCTACCTAAGAGGCAAACTATGATTCCTAAATACAGTACATTGCAGAAGTGAAGGTGGCTTATTTTAGCCCAGGGTTAATGGGTTAAACTGGCTGATGCTTGAAGCATCTGGAGATCCCACGTTTTAGAGTCACAATAAGATGGAGAGAAAGCTGTGGGAGATACCTGAAGATTCAGTGAGAGGAGGTTCTGTTGTCCATCCTGACCCCACCTGCCCCATTTACCTTCTTCAGGTGTGGGAGCCATAACTTGGTCTCCGCTGGCATGTGGACTCATCACGGGAAAATATGAGGATCGCGTGCCAGACAACTGCCGGGCTGCCATGAAGGTAGGATCCCAACCATTCTTTTTTTTGTTGATAGGAGCCCAGAAGAACATCTGTAATAACACTCTCACGTTCTTCCCTCTATCTTATCAAGTTGCAATGTCCTTGAAAGAGAAATCTTTCACAGTTCTCTCAACTTCAAGTAGAATATTTTCAAGCCTCTAGTTGGCAGTGTTACAAAGTTTCTTTGTTCTCACTCCCCCCCCCTTTCCCAGATAGAACGTAATAGAAGTTAAAAAAAGGAAAGAAAATATATATAATGTAATGTAATGTAATGTAATGTAATGTAATGTAATGTAATGTAATAATATAATAATATAATATAATATAATAATATAATATAATATAATATAATATAATATAATATAATATAATATAATATAATATAATATAATATAATATAATATTATAATAT